AGGATGATTTCCGTTACAAAGAACACATTTGGCTGGGGTGTCTCTGGGTTTTCTACAGGATTGTGTGTCATGCGGTCCACTACATTTGACACAGTTGAATGGCTTGGTACAATATTTTTTTTAATGACTATAGTCTTGGCATCTTGTGCATTGTACAATAGTGTTATTGCGTCTGGGCGGTTCAACACGAATTTTGCAGTTTAGCAGCGATTCTACGTCGTAAATTTCTTTGTTGTTGCTTTGTGGTTCCAAGTCAACAAAGAAGAGAGGCACTGGTTCTTTGCTGACTATGTCTTGCATTTATCGTGTTCCTTACTTTATGCCCTTTCTGATTTAATTCTTCTGTTATGTCGGGTATTGGTATAAAATGATGCAGATCGCGGATTACTATTCTGTACTCTCTTTCCTGTTTCAGTTGGTACGTGTGATGTATGATATTTCCCTCCCTAACGTGTTGGATTAGTTTTCTGTATGTTTGTGGCACATTTGGCATGATTTGTAATGTATTGTTGGGCAGCGCGTTTGCTGTATAAGTTTCAATTTAGGTGACCTTGGCAAGGTTATTTAGCATTGCTTTAAAGTCATCACCCCGTAAATGTAGATAGCTGGTGGTTTGGGTTCTCTTTTTGGATTAGCAGGATTCCTTGAGGTTGGTGGTTGCCTATTTTGGTTGTTATCGCGGGGTAGTTCACTAAGAGAGTCAAATCTGTTAGTAGTTTGGATTTGCTCAGCTATTTCGGCAGGTGTTTGGTAATTTATTCTTTTTCGTTTGTTACTCACGGTTTGCCATTGATGTTTTTTGTAGCTGTCTTCTTCACTCATGTTTAATTTAGGTCGTCTTCGCTGTACGAAGTTTGTACCTGATTGTGAATTTGTTGATTGGGTTGCTGTAGTTGTGCTTGATGTGTTGTTATCTGGTTCGTCCTTATCGGCGGAAATTGTAAGTTGTATGACCATTGGTTTGGTTGATTGTAGTAGGCCGGCAATATTTGTGGTTGGTTTGTAGAGGATGCTGATTGTGCATGGCTGGTGCTGGCGCAGCTTCGTCGCCGATTGGGAACATCACTCGCTTTGCGGAATCTTTTTTTTTTTTTGATGAATTAATTATATGCACGTGAGTTTGAATCTTCGGGCTGTACAGCTGCTTAGTTCGATTTGTTCGTTTGGGTTTGTCTTCCCTTTCAACTATAAACACTGCTTTACGGAGCGGCACCTGACACGCGTCCGCACTGCTCGCTCCTATGAAGCGGAATGCCAAAAAAAAAAAAAAAACTTTCATCTCCCGGACAAAGATTTCCTAGGCTAGAAATTGCTAGCCGTTGACGAGTGATGGACTTCTTATCGTGCGGACTTCCTGGCGGCACGTCACATTATTAATTATAAAATTATATTTCAGCATCCTATTGCATTCAGGTATCATTAGTAGTCTCGTTTTCCATCCATAATGAAAAAATTTAAATTTCAAACGATCCTAAATCACATTTAATTCACTGAAATTTTCGTTAAATGTTTAAAATATCATCAAAATATACGAGTATGTAGATTGGGTGTTCATGTTACATGTTTCAGCCGCACAGGGCCATGTTCAGGCAACATACTTTTAAAGGAGCCTACTGCACTATGCACTTGGACAAACAGTTGTCTCAAGGCACGTCGTTATTATTAATTCTGTTGACGTAGGATGTTTCTTCCTATCTTTTGTATTGCGGCCGTTTGTGTCCTAGTGGGTGTGTCGCTCTTGTAATGTATTTAGTACAGCCACCACCAGGTGATGAGTTCCGACCAGCAGAAGTAATGTTACCTGATGAAGCTTACGTTGCCGAAATAAGGGATAAGGTGTTGACGTGGTTTAGCAAAAACATCTAAGTCTTCTTGAATGCTGAGTATATGACAAAAATTTACTGGATTCCTTATAGACACAGTTGGTACAGGAAATAAAGATGAGAGGGTCTAAGACCCAGATACCTCCTAACCGACGACAAAGAGCGATTCGTTCTGCGACACTATCAGTGTGTCTGATCTCGTCCAATCATAATCATCTATACTTTTGGGAATAACCTGGGTGTTGGCTCGGCCAAAAGTTTCGGCACATAACATCGGAATCTGACGCAATCTGGATGACACGAGGCAGATTCTCCTACTAGTGAAAGTTCGTTTATACGCCCCAGATTAGGACCAAAGTACAGACACGTGGAGTAACAGTCATAAGCAGCAAGTGTTATGTTTGGACTTTCAAGTTCCTTAGCCTTAAAAGGTTATAAAGTTATTGATTTCCTGCTTCCCTATTGAGAGAAACAGCTCCTCTTACAAAATCTTACTGAAAGTGAATACAATATAACTAAAATACATTATTACTATAGGTTTCAGAAAGTTTACCTATACATGTGGCATCATTTTCTTTACAGGTTAACCTTGTTATTCTTGTTATTGCTTCATAGTTTCACTTTCAATCTTGTTTCACCTTATTAATAAATTTACATTAGTGACATAATTAGTTTCATCTCATTATATGTGTTACAGTAGGTAGAGATTTGTAATTTACATATTACACCTCCCTTCCTCTAAAAAGTTGTTGCCTATTTGGTGAAAACTTTTCCTTTTTACTCTTTAACGGAACATTCTTCTGCTCCTTGTTCTCGTTGATATAGGTTCTGATTCTTCCATATGTGACCTTTCAGCATGGATTTTCCTAGGTTGCTCTGTTACGGCGTCTCCTATCCCGGGTAATGATTTCAAGGATATAGCGGGAGAGGTATTTGTCTTTGTATACTCTACTTTAGAACCGTTGTAATTGTAAATACTGACACAGCATTTATCTTGGGCTTGTTGCCAACAATCCCTCGGGGTCCACTTTTCCCAAATCCAAAAGAAACNAAAAAAAAAAAACCATTTCTGCAGCATTCAAAACAACTGCAACAAATGCATATAACAATTATACCAATTATTGTCATTGTTGCCCCCCAGGATGTTGCAACTGTGTAAAACCTTTGGTTCTGCTTAATTTCTTGGTCTTTTATCATTTGTTGTACCTCCTCTGTTTGTTTACTTGCGACTCTCAAGTCGTCTATTGAAGACATAATATTTACTAATGGTGTATGCAAAGGTAAGTCTTCAAATTTTACATCTTTCAAATCTTCGAAGCAACAATTAAAATTTACAGGAACATAAGGTACATAATCATTTGTTAAGTTTGTTACCATGGTTGACATTGCATATAAAGTTACATAAGATGAGTATTCTTTACACTCAGGTTTCAAAGTTAATTTACCTTTGTTTTGTATTTTTACCGTCGTTGTTTCATGAGGACATAAAATGGTAAAGGTTTCCACATTTGGATTCACGAACAGCCATTGGTTGCTTAAATGTAGATGTATCCACAGAGTTTTGCTAAGTTTGAAAAATCTGTACTCACAACTGTCTGGGATCCTCATTGTTGATGGATGTAGCAATGTTGCTTCACAGTCCACCTCTGGGATGTACGTGTAAGTAGGAATCTCTTCCCTACATATATAAGTGATTTCATTTGGTTGAAAACAACCTGATAACTCATTAGTTGTCATTTTTCCAAAATGTTGCCTCAAGGCATCACTGAACATATACTCTTTATTAAAATTTATGTAACTATAGGTAGATTCTTGTTGTTTCACCATGACAGGAAAGGGTAGTAACTTATACAATTGATATATGGTTGGTGAAAATAAAGGAATTTCCAATACATAAACCAAATATTGTTTATATGAATAGGTTTTAGGAGTTATTATCTTCTGTAATTCTGGGAAAGGGAAGTTAGGGTAGTCCAGTCCGCTTAGCAGTTTTTGGCTTCCCAAAATTTTTTTATCTTTTCTGCGGTTATTAACTGTGGCTGCATAGAACCTTGTTCTGCGTGGACAAAGGCATCAATTAATATCTCGAATGAGTGTTGACTTTCATCAACACCTCTCTGTATCAAACGGAATTGCTCATTGATCAAATTTACGTTTTCAATTTCTTCTTCTAACTCATTTGTCTTATGTGTACTGAAGTTAAGTAGTTTGTCTAAACCTTCCTTCAAAACCTTTTCGTTCTGATTTACCTTTTGCAATGTTGAATTTACTGAGGTGATGGTGGTTTTTATAATTGTCATTTGTTCATTCGACAAGTGCAAAAATTCTTTCTGTTCTTTCTCTAATTCATTTATGTGCTTATTGTAGTTTTTCGCATCTGATTGCGTTAACGTTCCGAATAGGATTTTTGAAACTTCACCCTCGAAATTTAAGACGCCTCCTTTTGGTCTCTTTGATTTCTGAGTGTTGTCTACCCAATATTCCGCTACCAAATCTTTTAAGTTGTCTATGTATCTGCCTTTTGACCTCATATATTGCCCGAAAGCTGCGCAATCAGTATAATGATACCATTTTTTGTCTTTGATTTTCTGGCAGAAGTCCGTAACTTTCTTTTGATGAATTTTTGTTTGTTTCCATAATTCACGGGTAGGTTCTAAATTTATATAAGTAACTACTTTCCATTTCATGGGATAAAATAGTAAAGTCCCTGATTGATTGATCAGTAACTGTCAGATGACAGGTCCACAGTCTCTTCCAAAACAGTTCCTCCACTTAATGTGATCTTCTGTTTTTGGAAAGAGACTATCCAGGAAAAGTGATAATGTGGTAGTTTTTCCATTTGCTTTCCACATCGCAGTACAACAGCCGTTCAAACCACTCTGGTCACGCCTGTTGCTATACGAACTTGAACCATCTCGAGCATCATTTGTTCTGTGCTTCAAGTCGCTGCTGATGACGCTGCTTCCGGCATCAGTTTTTGGTTTTTGGTGTCTCTCTTCGTCTGATGCCTACCCTTTGACCTGTCCAGCAAGGGAGGCCCTGCCAGTAGCTACGCTACCGCTGGTATAGCTCTCAGGGTCCTTGGCATACTCAAACACCCTCACCACGATAAGGTGGAGACACCAACGAGGGGGTGTAAAGTCCCTACTTCATCAAAATATATTCCTGTCTCTGACTGCACTTCCTCGATGTTTTGAGCTTGTAGTAGTTTCCACCATATAATTAATGTGATTATTAGCGTCCACTTAAGTGTCTGCATTCTCTGAAATTGAATGAAAAAGTAAGGTTTCAACCTGTTAATATGAATTTCTTGATGCCTCCTTTTACCTAGTTCTTGAATAACAGCATTAGAACCTTGAATTTTCTTTATTTCATACGGCCCCTTCCACAACGGGTCCAACTTTTGTCTATTCTCTATTCTCAACAAGGCTAAATCATTTTCCATAAACTCATAACTATTGGACTTCACTTTCTGTCCTTGTGACTCTTTAAATTTTATTAATCTCTCTTTTGCTAATTGCTGACAAGTCTGCATTTTTGTTGAATCTCTAACACTATATCATCAAAATTGTAAATATGTTGAGGTTGTCGTTGTAGTTTTCCTGGGATGTTTGCAACTCTCCCAAACAATACTTCGTAAGGAGTGTACTTCGTAATTGAATGAGGTGTCGTGTTGTACGTGAAACAAGCAAAAGGTAACCATTCGTCCCAGTCATTTAGTTTCTTACCACAGAAGCAACGTAAATAATTGGTAAGAGTTTTGTGTGTTCTTTCTAAGGCTCCGTTGCTCTCTGGGTGATATGCTGTTGTGCATACTTTCTCAATTTGGAATAACTTACAAATTCGTTTAAAAACATCACTCATAAAATTAGATCCCTGATCTGTCACAATTTCTGTGGGATTCCATAATTTAATATAATATTCTTAACAAAAGCATTAGTGACTTCATCTGCTGTTTGATTTTGCAAAGGTATAGCCATAAAATATTTGCTAAGATTATCTTGACATGTCACAATGTATTTCATGCCAGTTTCCGTTGTAGGTAAAGGTCCTACTATATCTAAGTACACCTTATCCGATGGGATGTTCCTTGTGTCTGTAACTGTCAAAGATAATTTAATATTAGGACGTGTTTCTTTATTTAACTGACACGTCTTGCATTCTCGTATGTACTGTATCACGTCTTGTTCCAACCCAGGCCATGAAATGTATAACCTTATACGTTCAGTAGTTCTTTGGATATCTTGGTGACCATCTACGGGACAGATGTGCTTTTCTGCAATAATTTTCTGCTTTCTTTCATTGGTTATCTCTTCTATATTCACATTAAAACACTGAATTGGATAGGGACTTAGGCTATCTGCATTGCAGTTCCTATGCCCTGCTCTGTGTTGGATCTCATAATCGTATTCTTCTAACAATAATTTCCACCTCATCAGTCTTGAACTTGTGTCTTTTACGTTAAATATCCATGTCAAACGCTTATGGTCTGTTACTATCTGGAATTTGCGTCCTAACAAATATGGTCTAAAATGTTTGCATGCCCATACTATAGCTAGAAGTTCTTTTTCTACCGTTGCATAATTTAGCTCTGCTTTGTTTAATGTTCTTCTAGCGTACGCTATTGGTTTGTATTGTCCTAATTTGCCTTGACTAAGAATAGCGCCTATTGCATATCCACTAGCATCTGTCGTTAGAACGAAAGGCTTACTGAAATCGGGGTATTGTAATAAAGGAGTACTGGTCAATTTAAATTTCAATAAATCGAAACTTGTTTGTTCCTTTTCTGTCCAGTTCCATTCATTTTCTTTCTTTAATAAGTTTGTTAAAGGTCTGGCGATTGCGCTTAAATCAGCTATAAACTTATGATAATAGCCTGCAAGACCTAAAAATGATTTCACATCTTTTCGTGATTGTGGTATTGGAAATTTTACTACTGCCTCAATCTTTCTGTCATCTGGTTTAACACCTTCGGCTGTAGTTACTATAGGATTCTGACGATGGTGTATAACACACTGATATGTTGGGATTTTGGACTTTATCCATCGTCCTTGTTTTTAAGATAACAAATAAAAACACGACGTTTCGGAAACTGGATCTGTTTCCGTCCTCAGGTGAAGGAAAACACCTATTCAGTTGGGTCCCTTAGAAAGAGCTAGCCTCAATCACTGGACAAACCAATGTCACAAAACATGAAGATTATAAACACCTGAGACCAGGCTAAGTCCATGAGAGCTAATAAGAAAAATAATCATAACAAATTGTAGCAAACACTTACAAGCGTGGAACCAGGATAGATAGATCTGTAGAAATTTATGCCACGAAACTAATAACGAGCTAATAAGAAAAATAATCATAACAAATTGTAGCAAACACAAGCGTGGAACCAGGATAGATAGATCTGTAGAAATTTATGCCACGAAACTAAACTCATAACCAGGTCCATGACCCCACGGCATGGAATAGAAAGAACTAGTAACAGAAACTAATAGTGCTTAACCAGCGTCAGCAATGGAGTAAATCACGTCTATCTAATTTAGAACTTAATGGAAATAAATAAAAGCATATATCACATCATACAGATCTTCTATGTGAATTGGTGACTTCATTGCTGATAATGGGGATCCAAATGGGAGAAAAGTCCAAACTGGGTTGGCTAATTGGGTTGGCCGAGCATGCCATATGGGCCGCTTCCTTGTATTTCCTATACCTGATGTGGCTTTCAATATCCAAAATCTTAGCTTCATCCCAGCCTACCCTATGTCCCTCTTCATAGGCATGTTGGGCTAGTTTAGATTTTTCTAGAAGACCTTCTTTTAGGTTATGCCTATGTTCCCGGAGCCGCACGGCCAGAGGTCTGCCTGTTTCGCCAATGTAGCTTCTGCCACATTCACAGGGAATGCTATAGACGCACTGTGCCGTCTGTTGCGGATCTCTTTCCGGTCTAGTTTTCATAAGGGAGTTCCTAAGTGTGTGTTTCGTACGGAAGATGGTCCTAATATTATATCGATTACCTATCCGTTTAAACTTTTCAGACACACCCTTCACATATGGAATATAAACAGAACACAGAGGGCTTTCCTCTTTCTTCGGACGACTACTGCCCTTGGAATTAATGACCGAGTCAATAAAACCTTTGGGATAACCGTTCAACTGAAGATCGTGTCTCAGGTTGTTAATTTCTCTGACCAAATCTCGTCGATCTTGGCATATGGTAGAGGCTCTGTCGTGGAGACTTTTTATCAAGCCTCTTTTTACATGCGGCGGATGGTTAGAATTGAAGTTGAGGTATTGGCCAGTGTGGGTGGGTTTCCTGTAGACCTGTGTGGCTAGTGCCGTCTTTTCCCTGATGACCAGAACGTCCAGAAATGAGATCGCATTGTTAGACTCAGTTTCCATGGTGAAGCAGATGGAAGGCCTTAAACTGTTGAGGTGGTCGAAGAAAGTCTGTAATCTCTCTGGACCATGAGGCCAGACTACAAAAGTGTCATCCACGTATCGCAGCCACAACGATGGTTTGTACGGAGCTGAGTCAAGAGCTAGTTTTTCAAAATGCTCCATGAAGATGTTACTAACGTTGGGCGAGAGAGAATTTCCCATAGCCATGCCATCTTTCTGTTGGAAGAACTTGTCGTCAACCTGAAAATAGGTGGTTTTCAAACAGACTTCCAGCAGCTCCATGATGGTTCCGATCTTCGGCTGTGACTACATGACCTAGATAACTCAATTCTTCCTTCAGAAATTCACTCTTATCTGGTTCAACCTTTAAGTTAAATTCATGAAGTTTTTCAAAAACAGCACGTAATTTGGAGTTATGTTCATCTAAGGTTTCCCCTATAATCAAAATATCGTCCATGTATACTAGACATCTGTTTCCAATCAATTCAGATAATACGTTATTCATCATACGTTGGAACGTGCTAGGAGCTGACTTTATACCAAACGGCATTCTCTTATATTCGAAATGCCCATCTACTCTACTAAAAGCAGTTTTACATCTGTCTTCTTTAGCGATTGGTACTTGTAAGTAACCACTTGCGCAATCTAATGCAGTAAAATATCTAGCTCTTCCTAGTTTGTCTAATATATCCTGAATATTAGGTAGTGGGTAGCTATCGCCAACAGTGACTTCGTTAATTTTCTAAAGTCTACACAAATTCTCCACTTTCGTTTTCCTGATGCATCTAACTTTTTAGGTACTACTAGTAACGGGAAATTCCATCCACTGTTACTGGGTGTCACTATGTCTTCCCCTAACATCTGTGTCACTTGTCTTTATATCTCTTGTTGCTGTGCTTCCGGCAACCTATAATTTTACCTTTTGGAATGGCCGGTGTCGGAATCGTGTGTTCTGCCGCTGATGTAAGTTAACGAGTCTCCAGGTAATGTGAATATATCTACGTATTCTTCACAGATCTTTCTAATGTCACTTGCCCCTTCTGCGATGTGGTCTAGTCTTAAATTTTCCTTTAATAATTGCAACCTCTTTATTCTATTCGTTTGGTTTTTGAAATTTTGCTTGTGCAACATAGTAGATGGTTTCTCTAGTTTAGGATCTGCCGTCATACATATTGGCTTATCAGTTAAATTGATCACTAAACATGGAAATTCAAAAGTTTCACAGTTTACTAAACTAGCTGCACAAATTAACCCTGGTTGAAGGATTTGATGTTCGATAAAACGAACTCCTTTCTCAAGTGTCTTACATTTTATAACCTGCTCACTATATGGTGATATTATAATTGGCGTTTTCTTCTGAAAACCATACCCTGCATTATCCAACCAGTCTTGCCCAAGGATAATGTCTAGATTCCTCGGCAGACTGTCAACAACATAGCATACTTGATATAAAGGTTCTAATGTGTTTTCAATTCTTAATTTTACTTTTCGTTTCATTTCCATTTGCTTTCCTGTTATACCGCATATTTGAAGGTTCTTATCCTTCTCCTGACTGAATTTTATCAACGACGATTCCTTCACTAAGGATACTTGCGATCTTGTATCTAAGAGAGCGACCCCTAACTCTCCCTTTAATTCTCTGCTCACTACATATACTTCATAGTGGCCTAATAAATCATCTCCCATGATTTCCGTGGAATTGACTCCAGCAATTCCCAATTGATCATCCCTGATGATCCCAGGCGAATTCTCATGATCATTTCCTATGACCCCTATTGAAAACCCACTAGGTGAACCCTCATGACCATCCCCGATGATCCCTTTTGAATTCCCTATGATCTCGTCAGATCCTAGTAACTCAGAAGCGTCCTTCTGGCTTAACACAATATTTTCATTAATTACACCGCAACGTATCGGGCAGGTGATTCTCGGTTGCACAGAACACCCTACTGCCCATTTCCCTGAGAGCCCTTTGCTCTACAATCTTTAGTAACATGCCCTACCCTGTGACATGTACCACATGTAGGCTTACTCCTACAATTAACTGCCAAGTGCCCTGCACGTTGACACCTATAACATTTCACCGAGGTTACTGCATGAACCTCCCTCTTTACTTGGGGTCTGTAATCTCTGCTTACTCCTCCATAACTCCCTGCGTTCGGCCAGCTCAAACTGTTTTGGTTGCCTTTGAATTTTTGTGATTTCACTTCACTCTCTTCTTGCAGTGCTGTCTCTACGAGTTGGGCCAATGAATTTTCCTCCCCTTTTGCTTTCTCAATATATTTGATCCTATCATCTTTCAGTCCTACTATAAAGGATCCCTTCATAAATTCTGATACTAAAATTGTCCCTCCATCGACTGCACGGGGATTTATCATTTCGATTCTGATTTTAGCTTCTCTCATCAGGTCTATTCCCATATTATCTATCTTCGAACCCCACTGAGCTACAGTTTCATTAATTCCCTGTCTTGTGGTAAACAACAAACTTGCATAGTATTCAAGGGTTCTCCTCACTGCGTAATTTTCCTCAAGTATAGCTTTAATTTGCTCCCACGTATTCCTCTCAGTCCTGGCTAACAATCTGTGTAGCCTCTCCAGCGATTTTGGATTCTATAAACTTTAATAAAAGTGGTTGATGTAATGGGTGTACGACCTGTCTGGCTGCCTCAACTCCTTCACAAAATTCGCGTAGATGTTTAGGGTTCCCCTCAAAAGTTCTGGAAATTAGCTTGACTGCCTGAACCACAGATATATACTCAATTTCCTCGTCTGCCATAGTGGTTTGGACTAACCTTTGGAAGTAGAAGAATGAAGGGTAATCAGAAGGTCAAAGTTCGGAGAATTGAAGTTGTTCCCTCGGGTTGACTCCAATCTCCTCTCGCGTTGACTGCTGCTTTCCGGCTTGTCACCTAGGCTGTCCCTCGAGATTCAGCAAAGGCCGCTGATGGAAGCTTCTGGCCACTGGATTCCGCGGTTGTTCCTTCCGAGAACCCGGGCCCTGGGATTCCTCCGGAGCGTTGATTCCTCGAAATAGGCTCGAATCCGCCTCGGCGTCCTCAAGTCCCTCCGGCCCTTCCGATTTACAACCCCTTTGTCGATTCTTGGTCTTGTTAGAATTTCAATCAGCAACGACCTGCAGCACCTATCGCACCGCTGCCACAATGTTTTGTCTTTTCTAGTAGTGCTTTCACCAGGTGATAGGTTCCGCCAGCAGAAGTGATACCACCTGATAAAGCTTAAGTTGCCGAAATTAAAAGAGAAGGTGTTGACGTGGATTAGCAAAAAGATCTAAGTCTTTTTGAATGCTGAAGTGACGACAAAATTTACTGGATTCCTTATAGACACAGTTGGTACAGAAAATAAATATGAGGGTCCACGACCCAGATAACAACTCCTAACCGTCGACGAACAGAGATTCGTTCAGCAACGGGATCAGTGTGTCTGATACCGTCCAATCATAAGCCTCTGTACTTATAGGAATAATCTGGGCGTTGGGTCGGCCAAAAGTCTCGGCACATGACATCGGAGTCTGTTGCAATCTGGATGACACGAGGCAGATGCTCATACTAGTGAAAGTTCGTTTATACGCCCCAGATTAGGACCAAAGTACAGACACGTGGAGTAGCAGTACATAAGCTGCACTTGTTATT